TTTCTTTCTATTTTTTTTAGTAGAGACCAGGTCTCGCTCTTGCTCAGGCTGGTCTCGAACTCCTGAGCTCAAACAATCCGCCCGCCTCGGCCTTACAGAGTGCTAGGATTACAGGCGTGAGCCACCACGCCCAGCCTTCATTGCAGTTTTCATTTGCATTTCTCTCAAACATTTCATCTTATTGAGTTATAAGAATTCTTTATATTTTCTAGATATAGGTTCTTTATATCTTTATGTGATTTGCCAATATTTTCTCCTACTCCGTGGCTTTCTTTTAATTTTCTTGATGTCTTTTTAAAATTTTTTTAATTTTGGTGAAATTTACTTTATCCCTTTTTTCTTTATGGGTCATGTTTTGAGTGTTATATCTAAACTGCCTAATTTGAGGTCATGAAGACTTTCTTCCATAACTTTCAGGATCATCAAAAAAAGGCTACTGGGATTTTTGCTAGGAATGTGTGAAATGATAGATCAATTTGGGAAGAATGCTTGCTTTATTGAATCTGCCAATCCATGGAATGAATGTCTTTCCATTTATTTAGATCTTCTATTTTATCAGCAATGCTTTTATAGTTTTTATTGTATGAGTCTTTTATTTATGTTGTTAAATCTCTTAAGTGTTTTATTTTTTATATTACTGTGAACACAGTTGTGTTCTTAATTTCATTTTCAGGTTTATTGTATACTCAGATCGTTATTGTGTATAGCATTCCTGTGACCTCACTGAACTCGTTTATTAATTCTAGTATTTATTTTGTAGATTCCATAGGATTTTTTACATACAGGATCATTTTGTCTGCAAATACAGTTTTTACCTTTTTCTGATATGGATGCCTTTTTTAATTTTAGAGACAGAGTCCCACTCTGTCACCCAGGCTGGAGCATAGTGGCACAATCTTAACTCACTACAACCTTGAGCTCCTGGGCTCAAGAGGTCCTCCCACCTCAGCCTCCCTAATAGCTGAGACTACAGGTATATGTGACCATTCCTGGCTAATTTTTTTATTTTTGTAGAGACAGAGTCTCACTATGTTGCCCAGGCTGGTCTTGAACTTCTGGCCTCTAGCAATCCTGCCTTTGGCCTCCCAAAGTGCTGGGATTGCAGTCATGAGCCACTGCACCTGGTCTTTCTTTTTCTTGCCTAATTGCTTTGACTAGAGAGCCTCCAGTACAATATGATACAGAAGTGTCAAGAGCAGACAGCCTTAACTTGTACCTGATCTTGGGAAAGCATCCAGTCTTACACTGTTGAGAATAAACTTAGTTGTAGGTGTTTTGTAGAAGCCTTTGATCAGTTTAAAGAAGTTCCTTTCTATTCCTAATTTACCAAGAGTTTTTATCAGGAATGAATATAGAATTGTGTCAGGTGCTTTTTCTGCACCTGATGAAACAATCACGTTGGTTTTATTCTTTATTTTATTGATATGGTGCATTACTTTGTCAAATGTTAAATCAACCTTTTATTCCTGGGATAAATTCTTGCATTCCTGGGATAATTTGGTTTACTCATACTTTTATTAGTGATTTTTACATCTGTAATCATAAGGGATATTGATTGGTCAATAGCTTTCTTCTGATTTCTTTGGTTGGCTTTGATATTGTGGTAATTGTTACCTTATTGAAAAGGACAAATTTAAAAGGAGGGAAATGTTTGCCACCTTTTCAGGTGATAGGGGACAATCCCATTTCCCCCATTCGCCTCTGAAGGTGGAGTTAGTTGTTGCCACGTGGAGTTAGTTGTTAGCAGAAAGATTACTTTTAAACACTAATTTAGTTTACCTAAAAATCTGTAATATTTTAGAGTTGCTGGAATCTGGTAAAATTTCCTCATACAGATTATTTTGAAGGCAGCCTAGGTGTAGAACACTAAATTATCTACTTTGCCTCTACTTCCCTTTCTCTCTCAGCATTTTTCTATGTAGTAATCCTTTTCTTTCCATTTTATTGACAGAGGAGGAGGGAAGAGACTTGAGCTGTTTTGTAGCCTCTCTTGTTCAAGTGATGCTGGATCCCTACTTTAGGACAATTACCGGATTTCAGAGTCTGATTCAGAAGGAGTGGGTCATGGCAGGATATCAGTTCCTAGACAGATGCAACCATTTAAAGAGATCGGAGAAAGAGGTAACCAAGTCTTCATGCCTTATTATCTGTCTTGAAGGATGTACAAGATAAAATGTGTCATATGTAAAGAGATGAGGGGGCTTTTTAAAAATAATTGCATTTAGTACAATTTTTCTTCCTCAGTCCAAGGTTAACTAATGGATTGGAATTAAAATTGAGGTACTTATTATAAAGATTATTGTAACTATATAGATGAAATTTTTTTAAAGTTATCTATTGAATTTGCGTAAGTTGAAAACTACCTGAAGAAATTCTGCATTAACTGCTGCAAAGCAGATAGCAAGCACATTAGATGTTTTAAAAAATCAATTTTGGAATATCACATTTTCTAAAAATGGGGCACATGGGTTAAGGTGGAAAGTTTGAGAGGGCCATCTTTGTAAAAGCTGTGGGGTTAGTGGCTGCCGTGGACCTGTAGTTAGGCTGCGGGAGGCCTTGCAAATATTTTATAGGCAGGTCAGCTCAGTTTTTAGGGGGCTGTTTCAGAGAGCACCATTTCATATAAAGTAGCTGTCATCAGCTGCTGCCCTCAGGGATACATCAGATGACCTAGGTAGATACCAAACTGTTTTCTGAAATTCGGAGTCGTTTTCTGAATGCTGAGCCTATAGGATCAACCAAAAGTTAATTATAGAAGTTGGTCGAGTTTTTTGTTTTGTTTTATATTCTAAAGAATTGTTTCTAGGACATGGTTGAACATACATTTTGTTCTTCCCCATTCATATGGTGGCAACCTCTTCTTCTGTTTGCTTTGCCATTTCAATTTGGTATACTTATTGGGCAAATAAGGGCTGTGATGTTTATCACAGTCAAACATACTTCTTAGGTTTGGCATGAGATGTGTTTAATCTATTCATGTCTCCTTCGCTCAGTTTAGGAGCCATGTGCTTTAGGTTTAGATGTTTTCTTATTAATCTCTTCCTTAATGTCAAGAATAAATTTGAAGATAAATGTGAACAGCTGAAGGATAACATTAGATAATCCCATTGTCTGTCTGTATTTGCCAGTCTCCCTTATTTTTGCTATTCTTGGATGCCACCTGGCAGCTGTTAGAACAGTACCCAGCAGCTTTCGAGTTCTCCGAGACCTACCTAGCAGTGCTGTACGACAGCACCCGCATCTCACTGTTTGGCACCTTCCTGTTCAACTCTCCTCACCAGCGGGTGAAGCAAAGCACGGTAGGCAACACTGTGGCTGCGGCTACTTTTTTCCTTTTTTTTTTTTTAACAACTTTATTGAGATATAATTAAAGTATAATTAACTGCCTATTTTAAATATATAATTTAAAACTATCTTCCACTGTCAGCTATAATTTGGACACAAAAATCTAGAAAATTATTTCATTTTTATAATTAAACATTTTATGTGTTTTTCTCTAATGTAAATTGTTTATAATAAACCAGTTTAAAGATGTAAATTACTTAACCACCTTAATTGTTGTGCTTTTGTTAGGTGCTGGTGGTCAGGTACTGTGTGTGGAAAATCTGATCTTTCTTAGAGATAAATATTTTTGGTTTTCAGATTTTAAAAAGATGACTTTTTCGATATACTTTCTTGATGGCCATTAAAACAGGTTGGGTTTATGGTTTACTAGATTTCAGTTCTTAACAATACCATTTTCTAAAGCAAATGAGTTATTTTTTTATATATGATGAAATTTCGGATAACTAAAAAATGTTTTAAGTATACCTGTATTTGGTACTTAATGCATTTATTTGAAATAGAAAATTTCATAAAATTTTAAAAGCGTCTTGTGCTATTACACAGCTTATTATATTTGTTGATGACTCCATGCTACCTTCATGGCGGGGAATAAAACCTGGCTGTGACGTAGTGGTGGCCTCCTCACTGCTATACTTTTTTCCTAATAACATTCATCCTTTGCCTTTTTTCTAGTTTCCAAAGAAATTCTTGCTTTTATTGTCAAAAATTTGGAAAATACTGAAAGGTGCAGAATAGAAATAAGACTCGTTTCCCACCATCCAGAGACTCAGTATTGGGGATATTTCTAGGAACTATTCCAGGGAACTGTTCTGTATAAACTGCTGTGGTAGCCTGCTATTGTCAGCCAGCTAAGATGAGGGTCCTTTCTCCATCTTGCGAAATTTGACTACATAGAGATGGTCTGGGCTGCCTTCCAGAGTAGCACTGTGTCCTCCTCCCCAGTGAGGTGGCTGGCTGTCATCCCATAGCCATGTGTTGCCTCAGTTTGCTGTGGTGAGAAACCAAATCACCAGTCTGCACCAGCCCGGAGTGAGGGCCAGTGGTGGGCCCCTGTGAATAAGGCGCCCAGCCTTGGTACATGGTCTCTGTGGTCTAGGACCGCAGGGGAGTTGATTCCTTCCTCCCTGCTCCAAGGCTGTGGTCCAAATATTTGAGTCCACTGGCTAAGTGAAGTGTGGCTCTCCACTTAGAAAACAAGGTATAAAATCTATGGCAGTGGTGGCCATCCAAAGATTGTATTAATCCACTTACCAGCAGGTCAGTGCTTAAATATATGTAAAAGTAAAGTGCTACAAGTATAGAAATAACTTCAACACGTTTAAGACTTTATGCTATCATGTTAGCGAAATTTTACTTCTCTTAATAGCATTTTCATTGCCCAGAGGGCGAAGCTTCCTTGGGGCTCTGAGGCAGAGAGCGCACTGAGCAGCACACGCCCTGTTCATGCAGAACATCAAGTGCTTCTGTGAGCAGAGAGGCCAGGAGCATCTCTCCTCTCTTGAAGTGGAAGCACCACTCTCGTGGGTTTTGAGTGCTCTAGTTCAGAACCTTTAACCTGTATCATGATGAATGGCTTATCCGAAAAAAAGGAACTCGTGAAAAAGGAACTTTGGTTTTGCATCTTTTCACAAATGTTCCAATATTTTATTTTGCAGGAATTTGCTATAAGTAAAAATATCCAACTGGGTGATGAGAAGGGCTTAAAATTCCCCTCGGTTTGGGACTGGTCTCTGCAATTTACAGCAAAGGACCGCACCCTTTTCCATAACCCCTTCTACATCGGAAAGAGCACGCCTTGTGTACAGAACGGCTCTGTGAAGTCTTTTAAACGGACAAAGGTAAATTACACCTAACAAAACCTGATGTTGGCTCACACAGAACCAAACGCATCTTTTTCAGAACACAGGGCATTAAAAAGTAGAGTCACTTCCCACAATAACACTGCTAATGCAGATTTTGGAGGGATCACTCCCTTTTTAACCGAAATGACTGTATCTTCACTTTTCTTCATGGTATCTGAGGCCCACAAAGCCCTGATCAAGTACCTGAGAGTTGGCAGGTTGTGGCTCTGGGCCTGTGAGCCCCATTTCCTGAAACCCATCCAGTCTGCTCGTTTTTCTTTCTAGAATCAGCCAGGCCTAGGGCTTTTTTTCCTAACCCAGTAGTCTTAGAAATTTTCCCTTAGGCAAATTAATGAATAGGATGTACTTACCTCCCTACCCCAACTCAGGCCTAGTGTAGAGTCAATACCTAAAAAAGTTGCACTCCAGGGGAGGAGGATTAGAGTAAGTACTACAAGGGAAAGGATGAAAATGTTCTTTGAGGATGAAATGCCATCAGTTTTTCATGATACTGAGTTTATATTTGCCATTGTACCTTTAGTCTTTCTAAAAAGGAAAGCTCCAGGAAACTAATGCTGAAATCTCTCTACTGTACAGAAAAGCTACAGCTCCACACTAAGAGGAATGCCATCTTCCTTAAAGAATGGAATCATCAGTGACCAAGAATTACTTCCTAGGAGAAATTCACTAATATTAAAACTAAAGCCAGACCCTCTTCAGCAAACTGACAGCCAGAACAGTGACATGGAACAATATTTTCGAGAGTGGTTTTCCAAACCAGTCGACCTGCATGGGGTTATTCTGCCACGTCTCTCTGGAACACACATAAAACTGTGGAAACTGTGCTACTTCCGCTGGGTTCCCGAGGCTCAGATCAACCTGGGCGGCTTCATTACCGCCTTTCACAGGCTGTCTCTCCTGGCTGACGAGGTCGACGTGCTCAGCAGGATGCTGCGGCAGCAGTGGAGCGGCCCCCTGGAAGCCTGCTACTCGGAGCTGGGCCAGAGCAGGATGTACTTCAGAGCCAGCGGCCCGCACGACACCTCAGGGACACCAGAGTTTCTGTCCTCCTCATTTCCGTTTTCCCCTGTAGGGAATCTATGCAGACGAAGCATTTTAGGAACGCCATTAAGCAAGTTTTTAAGTGGGGCCAAAATATGGTTATCTACTGAGACACTAGCAAATGAAGACTAAAATGTAGTATTTTCTGAACATTTTGAGGGAAGCTGTAAATTTTTTTCTTCGGAATGAAAATTGTTAACCTAGGCATTTGAAGCTCTAATAACTTTATATGTAACAATAGTTGAAATTTGCACTAATATTTAAAAACTTGTTGAATCATGCTTCCTTCACACTTATTTTAGAAGAGAGATGTAAATTTTTTGTATGTCCCCTTTTATTCTAGATCTGGCTCATTTTTAGGTGATTTGTAGGCAAACATTCCCCTATTCTTATAACTGATCAAACTAATCAGGTTTTGTCTGCATCCATTTTTCCTACTATCTACTAAAGGTTACCTGATGCCTGCCTGGTCAGATTAGCAACCCAAAGGAGCAGACAACAGGAAAGTTAAGAAATTAGTGTTTAGTATATTTCTAGAAAAATCTGATAAAACCCTCAACAGGCTTTAGTAGGCATTCATGTATTTCTCTGGTCACTGTCTGTCGTCTCTAATTGAACTCACCTGATGAAGAAGGTTCAGTGTTCTCAGGCCAGAATTTATTATTTTAGATCACCTCGTTTGGGACCTTAGATCACTGTGTTTTGAAATCGTGAGTTTGCTTTTAACTTTATGGGACTCACTTTAAAATGATATGCACTATTAACTTTAAAGCATTTGCTGTAGATAATATAATTAAACCTAGAAGTGCCTTTCACATTAATATTAAGGTGTGAATATCACAGAGGAAAATATTTCACTTTTTAAAATTAGGGTGTTGAAATCCCACTGCATATTGGAAATAAGTTTTTCACACTAAGCTTCATAGCCAGGAGGCCCCAACGCCACATTCCTGTTCCTCTGAAAGCTGCTGAGGACACAGGGGCCTGGATGGGCTACTCCTCAGGCCCCCCTTGCAGCAGGTGCAGCCCCAGCTCTGGCAGGTCAGTGCTGTGGACAGGAGAGTGCCGTCTACGCCAAAACCCACCCTCAGAGACAGGGCTTTCTAGGAGGTGGCGTGGGCTTTCCCATCCGCACTTCCAGTGTGGTAAACTACTGTTGGCACTTCCCCTTGGAAATAACTAATGAGGTCACAAGTTGGACAGCAGCACAGAAGTCCCCCTGCTCTCAAAGTTCTTAATGCTTAGGAATAGAATAAGAGAAATAAAAATGAACTTCTCTCAAAACACTGCTATTTTAATAAATAGCGACATTAGTGCTCCTCCCACCCCCGGCTTTTGACAGCAACATTAAGAGGGGACTGAGAGGCAGACAAAGGCGTTTTCTTGAGCTGAAACTCCCTAATTTCCAATCCGTGTGATAAGAGCCTAGCCAAGCTGTAGGGGTCAGAGCTTAAGTTTCTTATGGCAGTGACATTTAGCAGCCCCGCTACACACACCCCATTCCCTGTTTAAAACATGGATGTTTTCAAATTTGTTAGGAGTTTCTTAAACTACCATCTTAAGCTTTTGAAATTTTTTATAGTAAAGGGTCTAGTTAGTGTATTTCCTTTTCTAAAACAAGTTTTTTCAAGATAATATCTTTTACATGTACTGAAAGCTGTTCCTATTTGAATTATTTGCTTTTTAAAAATTACATCTCTGAATATAACAGAAATTCATCTTGTGGATACACCCAATGTTTTTGCCAACTTGTTGCCTAGAAAATAAGGGCTATTTTCAGTTTATATAAAGAGAGCTATTACATTAACATTTTATAGTCCTCAGCTGGAAACTAGCCCTGATTCCCCTTAAAACACCACAGCATATCCTGCCATTCAAAGTGTAATAATTCTCCCTTTTTCATTAAGCTGCTTTTTATCATCACAAATTGTTTTTGGATTGAGCATTTTTCTCTATATAATTTTCTTCCCTCAACATTTATTTCAACTTCCTTTAGTAATTTTTTTGTTAATTTACAAGTTTAAAAAGAATTAGGTACTATTAATACTATTTTAAAATAGAAATATGCATATTTTTGTATGATAATCAAATGTAGCAAACTATGTTTTTTGTTTTTTTGTCAGACAGTTGTTATATGATTATTGTGCATGTTATATGTTTATTGTGCATAATATGAAAAACAACTTTAACAGCCTTAAGTCAGGCCATTGCTAAGTTGCTTGGTGCCTCTGCTGGCAAAGGGACACTGGTGGCAGAAGTGTGGTTGTGCAGGTTGCACTGCAGACAGCTCAGTACTCACTGTTCCCACGGCCCTGCACGCAGAGCCTGTGCTGACGGAACGCCACGCAATGCCCGACAGCGCTGGGCTTTCTAGTCTTGGACATAAAGATGTACAGTGTCTTACTGTTATTTTATGGTGGAAGCCAAGTTTAAAACCAAAAATGTCTAACTTTATTTAAGGAAAGGATATTAATTTGTACTAACAGAGGGTGAAAACTGTTCATATCCTTCAACAAAATCTGCTTGCTGTAGCAGTAACCTCAAGTAGTTAAAACTTGATTTTGAGAGAAAACTAAAACCTTTGTGCCTAAAACTGATGACTTGAGTTCAAGTGGTATGAGCAGGAAGATATGAGATCTTGTTGTTCAACAGTAATGAATGTGAAGGGAATTTTGACTGCTAAATAAAATTTTCACAGCAGTTTGTTGTAGTTATCAATATGAAATCACCTGCAAGAACACAGTGATAGAAGACACGAAGGCATCTTCTCCCACTCATATTTCTGTGTCATCCACGTGACTTTTCCTCTTGCCCTCTAAAACCCAGGTAGTTATCAGTAACATTTTTAACACCTATATTAAGAACTCGCTGTCGTTAAGGCCAGGTGAGTGTTAATGGATCATACCCAAACTGGTCCTTCCATTCAATAAATACAAAAACTAAGGAGTAACATTTCCCCAAGAAGGTCTCAGAACAAGTCAATGAGACTGGGTTCCACGTCCCTGACTCCTGGGCCTTGTGTTTGGATAAGTCACCTTTCTACCATACCCTTCCTCAGCCTGAGGCCCTTCCAGTGGTGGTGAGCAGCCCTGTTTTAATTATACTGTCAACAGAGAAAACACTCCTAATCTATTTACTAGGGATGCTCCTAAGAAGAACAAGGGACAACTGCCTCTGATAAAGACTGTTCGTTCCCCTAGTGATCCAGGCCCAATTGGTAAAAACAAGCATTTCAGATGTCATAAGTTAAATAACTTCATAAGAATTTGCTTTTTTGATTCCTAAAGAAATTAGAATTTCAACTGTTTCTGCCCTTATATAATCATAAAAATGAGAATGTTTAACAGTTAAATGTATAAAGCAGTAAATAAAAACAGATAAAGAATCTCAGTTCTAATATACCTATTGGAAGGAAATATTGTTTATGCTACTTTTATAAAAGACTTAAAGATTTGAATCATTTGTTTTGTTTTTCTCCAGCTTTTCTGCATGTCTCATAACATGCATTCAGCTCCTAAAACCACCAAGGTTTTGTTTGCCCTTTTAAAACGTTCATTTCTACTATGTGGCATCAACAAATAGTACATACAGGCAAACACCAAGCATTGTGATACACAAATGCACAGTACGATGATGAGTCATTAAACTGTCAGGTTTATAACAGACAATAACAAAATCAAAATTAAATGTAATAATGCTTTATACTTTTGAAAGTCTTACATCATTGTATGACCAGCTATCCCCCAATTCCTTAGCATTTAGCTAAGGCCTTTGCTCTTAGCGCCAACTGCAACCACGTGACAGACTTCTACTTCAGCCCCCAACTTCTGCAGTTCATCCAACCAGATCATTTGCTTATGCGAAAGACGATCATTGGGGCCTTTAACTTCCACCAGCTGGAGGATAAATTTTTAAAAAATATTAGTATCTTGTTGAAACTGAATAACCATCCAAATAAGTTATAGTAGTTTTCACTACTATAACTAATTTTCACTAAACAAATATTTAAGTGGTTTCTTCTATACCACTGTCTTTATATATAGAACAAATATGTATATAAACAGTCCTTGACTTAACAATGGTTCAACTTAAGATTTTTCAAGTTTAAGATGGGGCGAAAGTTATATGTATTCAATAGAAACTGTACTTCCAATTTTGAATTTTGATGTTTCCCCAGGCTAGCAAGAGGTGGTACGATAGTGTCATGATGCTGAGTGGTGGCACATGCCACAAGCTGCAGCTCCCGAATTAGCCACATGATCATAAGGGTAAACAACTGATACTCCACAGTATACTGAGTTGCCTCATGATTGCACCCAACTGTAGGCTAATGGAAGTGTTCTGAGCAGGTTTGAGGTAGGCTAGGTTAAGCTATGATGTTTGGTAGATTAGGTGTATTAAATGCATTTGCAATATCTTCAACTTACAATGGGTTTATCAGGACATAACCCCAACATAAGTCGGGGAACATCTGTATGTAGCTAAGAATTACCTTCAGAAATATCTCTAGTCTACAGAAACTAGATAGTTCTTCACAGAGAATTAGTAAATTGATTTAGCATAGCAATTGAAAAGTTGTTTTAAAGCATGCAATGGATTGTTAAACCCTCCAATTACTTTGTTACCTTTGCAATTAAATCTAAACTTCTTGACATGATCAACAAAACTATAGGGTCTAGCCCCTGCCAACCATTCCAAAGGCCCCCTTTCAGCTTCCTGGAAGAGACCAGCCTCTTCCCCACCCAAGGGCCCTCACTTCACACTTGTTTTTCCTTCTACCTAGGACTTTCTCCCTGTTCTTCATATGCTTGACTTCTTACCTTTCAACATTCAGCTTACACTCATCTCAGAGAGGTCCACCATACCAATCAGTAGAATCCTTCCTATACACTTCTTTCATGACATTTATTACAAGATAATGTTTATTACTATCATTGCCATGAAGGCACGAATTGTGTCAGCTTTGTTCACTACACATTACTGAACTTGAAGAGACAATAATAAAAACTATCCTACATGAAGTATAAAATAATTTTTTTTAATAAACAGCATTCAGCAGCCTAATAGATGTTTAATTAGCATCCCCAAAGAGGAAAGAAAAATATTTGAATAAATAATGGCTGAAATGTTTCCAAATTTTATGAAAACTATAAACCCAATGAACCAAATTCAATGAACCCCAAGCACAGAAACTTCCTACCACACTAAGAAATACAATTAAATTGTATAATCAGCAATAAAGGGAATATCTTAAAAGCAGCCAGAATTTTTAAAAGCCAGAGGAGAAAACAGATTTTAGCTGGACGCTGTGGCACCAGCCTATAGTCCCGGCGGAGGCAGAAGAATCATTTAAGCCAGGAGTTCAAGGCCAGCCTAAGCAACACAGTGAGATCCCGCCTTTAAAAAAAAAAAAAATACAAGGCCAAGTGCAGTGGCTCACACCCGTAATCCTAGCACTCTGGAAGGCCAAGGTGAAGGATCATTTGAGCTCAGGAGTTTAAGACCAATATGAGCAAGAGTGAGACCCCGTGTCTACTAAAAACAGAAAAAATTAGCTGGGCGTGGTGGCTTGTGCCTGTAGTCCCAGCTACTTGGGAGGCTGAGGCAGGAGGACTGCTTGAGCCCAGGAGTTTGAGGTTGCTGTGAGCTGACTCCATGGCACCCTAGCCCGGGCAACAGAGCAAGACTCTGTCTCAAAAAAATGAAAAATAAAAAAAAATTTAAAAATCCCACAGATTTCTCATTGGAAACAATGCTACCTAGAAGATTGTGGTCTAATATTTTTAAAGTACTGAAAGAAAAAAATCTGTCAACATAGAATTCTTTGCCCAAAGAAAGTATCTTTTAAAAACAAAGGTGAAGTAAAGACTTTTTAAGACATACAGAACCTAAGTACAGTCATTCCTCAATATCCCAAGGGGATGGGTTCCAGGACCCATACAGATACCAAAATCCACAGATCCCCAAGTCCCTTAATATAAAACGACACAGTATTTGCAAATAACCTATGCACATCTTCCTGTATACTTTAAATCATTTCTAGATTCCTTACAATACCAAATACAATGTAAATACTACATAAATAGTTATACGGTACCTCTTGTTTGTATTTTTTAATTGTTATAGTTATTTTTTATTGTTTTTATTTCAAATATTCAACCCACGGTTGGTTGAATCCCTGGATGCAGAACCCCTGGATACAAAGGGCTGACTGTAACTCATCACTAGCAGACCTGCACTTCAAGAAATGTTACAGAAAATTCTTCAAGCAGAAGGAGAATGGAACCCAGGGGAATCTGGACCTATACGAAGGAATACACGGGAATTGGTATCTACATGAGCAGATATAAAGGCTCTCACTAATCAACTGTAGAAAGCAAAAGTAATGTGTCATAGAATCTACAACATGTTGAAGTAAAATGTACGAAAACACAAAAGCTAGAGGGAAGATATAAAAATATACTGTTGTAAGGTTCTTTATACTATACATGAAATTGAAAGTACATATCACTTGAAGGTAGACGACAAGTTTAAGATATACACTGTATGCCCTAATACAACTACTTAAAAAAGCACAACGAAGAGTTATAACTAATAAGCCAATGAAGGTATAAAATGCAATCTTTAAAAAAGGGAAGAAAAAGAGGGAGAAGGGGAACAAAAGAGAGACGAGACAAACAGAAAATAAATATCAAGATTTAAAGCCAAGCCTCTCAAGCCTAAACGTAAATGTTTCAAACATCCCAATTATAATAAAAGGCAGACGTTGTTAAGGTGGAGTCAAAAGTAAGACTCAACTATATGATGCCTACAAGAAACCCAAATTAAATATAAAGATAAAATAGGTTAAAAGTAAGAGAACAGAAAAACGTATCATGTTAACACTAATCGAAAGAAAGCTGGAGAGGCTGTATGTTAATAATAGCAGACAAAGTTGGTTTCAGAGCAATGGTCATGTCATAATGATAAAAGGGTGGGTTCATCAAGAGGACATGATAATCCTAAAAGTGTAAGCATCTAATAATAGAGCTTTAAAATACATGAAGCAAATATTTAGAGAAATACACAAATCCCCAATTTTAGTCAGAGATGTCAATATTCTTCTCTCAATGATCTATCAAACAAGTAAATAAAAATCAGTGAGGACATGAGCACTATCAACCAAGTTGACCTAACATTTTTAAGTATTGCCCCCAACAAAAGCTGAACACACATTCTTTTTAAGTGCAAACAGAAGATTCACTAAGGCAAACCATATTCTAGGCTATAAAACAAGTCTCAATAAATTCAACAGGATTCAAACCATACAAAATATGTCCACTGACTAAAATGGAATTAAATTACAAATCAATAGCAAAAAGACAACTGGAAAATATCTAAGTATTTGGAAACTAAATGACTCCATTCAAATTAAGTAAGGATCAAAGAAGAAATCAAAAGTCAAATAAAATATTTTGAACTGAATGAAAATGAAAACATATCAGATTTGTGAGATTCAGATAAAGCAGAACTTAGAAGTAAATTTAAAGCACTAAACGCCTTTAGAAAAGATGGTCTTAAAGCAATGACCACAGTTTCCACCTTAAGAAACTAGAAAAGGAAAAAAGAACAAATTAAATCAAAAGCAAGCAGAAGAAAGGAAATAATAAAGAACAGAGCACAAATCAATGAAATAGGAAACAAATATAATAGACAAAAACCAATGAAACCAAAAGCTGGTTCTTTGAGAAAAATCAATAAAATTGATAAATCTCCAACCAAAATAATCAGAGAAAAAAAGAGAAAAGATACAAATTACCATTATTAGTAATAAAAGTATCACAGAAATAAAGATTCTACAGATATTAAAATGACAATACGGAAAAAAACATGAACAACTTTATACAAATAAATTCAGCAACTTACATGAAATGGAAAAATTCCTTGAAAGACACAAACTACCAAACCTCAATCAATCAAGAAGAAACAGATAACATGAATAAGCTCTATGTTGATTAAAAAGAAATTTAGGCCAGGCACAGTGGCTCACACCTGTAATCCTAGCACTCTGGGAGGCCAAGGCTGGAGAACTGCTTGAGCTCAGGAGAAGACCAACCTGAGCAAGAGCGAGACCCTAGAAAAATTAGCCAGGCATCGTGGTGTGCGCCTATAGTCCCAGCTACTGGGGAAGCTGAGGCAAGAGAATCACTTGAGCCCAGGAGTTTGAGGTTGCAGTGAGCTATGATGACACCACTGCACTTTACCTGGGGTGACAGAGCCAGACTCTGTCTCAAAAAAAAAAAAAAATTTAATTTATAGTTTTAAACTCTCCCAAAAGGAAAACTCCAGGCCTATATGGCTTCACTGATAAATTCTACCAGAGATTCATGGACTAATACTGACTGTACACAAACTGTTCCAGAAAGCTGAAAAGGATACTTCCCATCCCATTCCATAAGGCCAGTATTACTCTGGAACCAAAACCCAACAAATATATTATATGAAAAGACAACTACGGTTTAATATCCTTCATGCATACATATGCAAAAATTTTTAACATTTTACAAAATCAACTCCACCATTATATAAAAAGGATAATACATCTCGATCAAGTGAGGTTTATCTGATAAGTGGAAGGCAAGTTTGAGATTCAAAAACCAATGTAGGCCGGGCACGGTGGCTCACGCCTGTAATCCTAGCACTCTGGGAGGCCAAGGCTGGAGAACTGCTTGAGCTCAGGAGAAGACCAACCTGAGCAAGAGCGAGACCCTAGAAAAATTAGCCAGGCATCGTGGTGTGCGCCTATAGTCCCAGCTACTGGGGAGGCTGAGGCAGGAGGATCACTTGAGCCCAGGAGTTTGAGGTTGCTGTGAGCTAGGCTGACGCCACGGCACTCACTCTAGCCCGGGCAAAAGAGTGAGACTTTGTCTCAAAAAAAAAAAAAAAAAAAAAACCAATGTAAACCACATTGTTAACATACTAAAGAGAGAAACTAAATAATAATGTCAACAGATTTTTTTAAAAATAATTTAACAAAATCCAACATTAATGCCTGATTTTAAAAAACTCTCAGAAAACTTTGATGTAGAGGGAAATTCCTTAATCGGATTAAAGGTACCTGCGACACACCTGCACTTAACCTGATCTTCAATAATGAAAGACTAAGTGCTTTCCCCCAAGATCAGACACAAGGCAAGGATGTCTAGTCCATTTATAATGTGCCTTTTCCACAAGGTGCAATCAGGCCAGAAAGGGAAAAGAAAGGCTTCGAGACAGGAAGGGAAGAAGTATGTTGTTATTAGCAGACAATCTGATTGTCAATGCAGAAAATCCAAGGAAACGTACAAAAAAGGTCCTAGAACTAATAAGTGAGTATACCAAGTTTCCAAGTGAGTATACCAAGTGAGTATACCAAGTTGTTGAGAATACAAGATCAATATGCAAGAATCAATTGTATTTCTATACAGCTGGAAATTGAAATTTTAAAAAACAATACCATTTAAATAGCATCAAAAATATGAAATACTTAGGGATCAATATGATAAAAGATATGCAAGACCTATACACTAAAAACATTGCTAAGAGAAATTAACGAAAAATCTAAGTAAGTGGAAATATATATTAATATCATGCTCATTGATCAAAAGACTCGATACTGTTAAGATATCAGTTCTTCTCATATTGGTCTACAGATTCAACACAATCCCAATTAAAATCCCAGCAGAAATTGAGAGGGCGGCTTTATAATTCAAATAAAAATGCAAAAGACAGCCTTCCAAAGTCAAAATGGAAAACAAAAAAAGAAGATCCAAACAACTCTGAAAAAGAACAAAGTTACAGGACTTACACTATCTGCCTACAAGACTTAAGTAAAGCTACAATAATGAAGTAAAACAGACAAACAGATCAATGGAACTGAAGACAGTCCATAAACAAACCCACACATACATGGATTACTGAGTTTTGGCCAAGATGCAAAGGCAATTCAGTGGAAGAAGCGCAGTCTTTTTAACAAATGGTGCTGAAACAAGTGGATATCCATATACCAAAAAAAAAGAATTTCAGTCCATGTCCCACACTATATACAAAAAGTATTTCATATTGAATCATAGAGCTAAATGTAGCACCTAAAACTACAAAACTTGTAGGACAAAACAGAGGAGAAACTCTTTTGTCACCTTGGATTAGGCAAGTATTTCTGACACCAAAAGCATGAACCATTAAAGAACAGGTAAACTGGACTTTGTCAAAATTTAAAACTTCTGCTCTTCAAAAGATACTATTAAGAGACAAGTCAGCACAGAGCTAGTGATCCATAACAGTGAATCCTATTGTATTGGTCTTTTAATTAATTGCAGTTACAAATGATGTTTTATACATCTTGGTAACCCAACAGTCTAATACGGCCCCTGGTACACTGTTAGTGCTGAATATAGGTCTGGTGAATGAGTGCTTGGTAAGTACACTGATTGACATACTGGAGAGAGATGAATCTGAGGATAGGCATTAGGGAAATTTAAAAGTAAATGCCATTAACTTTGTTGTGCTGTCAAGTATTCTTCATTCTATCTATCTAACTAATTAGGGTATACTTTAAAATAACTAAAAGAGTGAAATTACAATGTTCCTAACATAAAGAAATGTTAAATGTCTAAGGTGACAGATACCCCAATTACCCTGATTTGACTAATTCACACTGAATGCCTGTATCAAAATATCACATGTACCCTATAAAGATATATAACTATTATGTACCCATAATAATTAAAAATAAAAAAGTAAAAGTAAATACCATTAAAAAAAGAGACAAGCCACAGACTGGGATAAAATATAACTCCCAGATATGAAATATCCAGAATATGTAATTTTCTTCTTTAATTTCACAACTCAATACTCAGACAAAAGCACTAGTGACAGCGGGGCCAGGCCTGGTAGACAATGTTTAAGGAGGCGCTCACTCTTGGGAGCTTCTAAAATAGCTCTTGGTGTCCACGCCCTGTGACCTCCTCCTTTTGAGAGTCAGCTGGGCTGGTGTCTTGTTTCTAACAACAGGATATAGCAGAAGTGAAGGAACATCACTTCCGCCATCACATGGTAAGCGACAGTGACTTCCCTCCTGCTCAGGCTCTCTGGCTCTTCTCGCTCTCCTGCTCTGGAGAAACAAGGTGCCTCATGCTGAGCTGCCCCCTGTAGAGGCCCACAAGCCCTCAGCCCAAAAGCTCTCAAGGATTCCATCTCGCCAAAAACCATACAAGAAATGCCTTGATCATGGCCTCTGATTCAGTTACTAATAAAATTATTAATACAAATTTGACTTTCCATTCTGGCACAACTGACCTTAAAGCGATGGCTTTGGGAGTTCCACACCACCAGGTCGGGGAGGCCCCCTCGGCAGTGTCGAAAGTCAGCAGCCAGGCGCCTACACACGCCACTGAGGACAGAGCCCCCCAAGCAGGAGACGAGATCCTGAACGAAAACATGTGGACGGTTAGCCACTTCCCTGTGACAGACGCCCTGAAACAAGCTCCAGGGTTTATGAGATAGAGACAAACTAGGTGTGTGGTTCAACACAAATGGATTCCAAGTGCACCACATGTCACTTTGCTGCTTGCACCAGGGCTCCAGAGCCGCTAAAATTCCCACTGGCAAGCTCTGGGAAATCGGGTCTCCTCTGGTCAGTTACCAGACTGATGGACACCCTGGGAAGCTGCTAAGGAAGAGGAGACTGGAATAAGCACTCATGAATATGTCAGCAAGGACTCGCAGAGGCCAACAGTTGTAGCGACAGAGAAGGTATCCTCCCTGCCACAGGTCAAGCAAAAAGAAGCTGTCGACTTGGGGGTGGAAAAGGCATAAATGGGGCTTTGTTAACACCCTAACATGTTTCCATCACTAATAGTGGCATCTGAGCTGTGGGCACAGGGTATCATCATACAGACACATACACACACACACGTATGTATACACACACACACAAACATATCTATATATAAATATGTACACGCACACATCTCGGTGTGTGCATCTATTTTGACACAGTTGCCAGAAAGACACCCAGCACTGGGGAGGCATTACTTTCTGACCAAATCCTACTGTGCAGGTAAACTATTACCTGAGCTTGCTGAAGAGAAGCGAAGCGATCCCAGCTAACGAGGGAAGCCACTCTGCCCTCCTGGGCCTGCCATGTGGCTGCCACCCAGGCTCGCAGGCTCTCCGCAGAAGCATCATGAATCAGCTGCAACCTGGCCTCAAGGGCGGGCCCTCTGCTTGTGAAGAAGCTGTCTGTGCACAAGTCCAGTGGGAATGCCTGTGACGTGGGGAAACCAAGCTCTCACACCGTGCCTGGAGAGCCACGCTGATGGGGGACTACTCAGTACCTATGAAATCTGGAAACTGGCCAAGTGGCTGATACATTCTTTCTCTCAAAAGACATGCAAAAACTATCTGATATATGTAATCTGATATAAAAGTAATTTATTACAATGGTTTTTCAGAGTAATAATTTGCAAAAAAAGCTTTTAGCTTAAATTGGTAGAACTTTTTTTTTTTCTCTTTTATTTTCCCACTTCAATAAGCTGTTTTTGTTTTTTTTTTTAATTACTGTTCTGGGCAGGGGTCGGTTGTTTGGCTGGTTTATTTTGTTTTTTTTTTTTTTTTTTTAATTACTGTTCTGGGCAGGGGTCGGTTGTTTGGCTGGTTTATTTTGGTAGCCCTGTTAGCAGGCACGTGTGACAATGATGTGAGAGCCACTGGCACAGTGCCCGGGCCATGAAAGGTGCTCAGGAAAGAATGAAGCTAAAGGTACTTTATACTAAAAGTTTAAAATATAATGTTATAGGTAAGGAAGACTTAAAGTTTAAAACTTAATATATACTTAAATTTTAAATTCTATTATTCAGATTTTAAAAATAAAAGTTATTCTTTCAGTGGAATTAGCACCATGATATAGGGATGATCCAAAAAACCGTATCAGAAAGACAGGTTTCTGATGGCTGCAGACAGGTCGTGCACAGGCGGGCCTGAGTCACAAACGTGTGCAGGAGAGTCTCCTCCGGGGACACAGTTACCGGGTTACCTGGTAGGCATTTCTGAAGACGTCTGGTATCCCATCCATGAAGATTACGTCCCACAGCAGGAGGCCATACAGGGTGCAGAAAGTGGACCCTTCCCCATGAATCCCTGAAAAATTAAACACACACAGAGGAAAAATCAGTTTTATCTGTTTTTTCAAACATACCACCTTAACCTACTGCATACCCAATTTCAAGGAAATAATAGAAATATTTTAGATTCAGAGGTAAATGCTGTTTTCATGCCATTCCTAGCTCACTTTTTACACTATATTTTTTATATACGGAAGCCCCGTTTAAGGGCAAAAATCTTAGTAATCATAGAAAAATTCAAATGAACATTTCAAAGCCACAAAGCACTGGTTCTCACACTCTGGTGAATAATCTAAAAAACATGTGTGAAAAAGAAAAAAAAAAGCCGATGCCCGCCTCAGGGTGCGAAGGTTCTGATTTAGTGGGGCAGGGCGGGGGCGGAATCTGCACATGGCCCTGGTGCAGGTGGTCCCTGGGCCAGCCCTGACTGAAGAGGCTCTTCCCTAAAGGGATTTCCCAGGAGGAGGCTGGTGGCGGATGCACCCATGTGTCCTTGGACTTAGCAGGTGCTGTTTCCATTCACCTCATCCCCCCAAGCATTCAGCTGCACTGGACCCGGCGTTTCCAATACTCAAGGCTTTTCCAGAAACCTTCGGTTTAAAGACCACCTGGTTCAGACGCCCCACCTCAGGTCACATACATATTTTACTAAACGGGAGACATCCTCAGAGAGAAATCAGGTGCCGAGGTCACAGAGAGAGTCAGAGGCAGGGTCTGGGGCAGAATGAAGAGCTTAGCCTATGTAGACCTATGTCCCCAAGCAAGTCCTAGCTGGCCCAGCCCACCCCCAAGCCTGTGCTTGTCTGCACATCAGCACATGTGACCAGGGAACACAGCTGCGTGGATGCTTCTCCCCATGTGACTACCTTGGTCAGAGGGGGCGCTATCACCAGACCCCTGTCCCAACACGCCCACGCTGCAGAAAGCTCCTGTGGCCAGTCCGACCCTGACAAGTATGGGCCCTCGTCCATCCAGGCGAGGCCACAGTGAAAAGAGGGAGCAAAAACAGACCAGGCAGCCCTGGCCTGTCTGCTTGGGAGCCTGGCACGCAGGGCTTCTGGCTCACCATGTGCCCACATGAAGGCACACTTGGGACGGTGGCCTGAGCCTCTGTCAGGAGTGGCATGTGGCCAGGTTCCCTCTGCCCTGCGTTCCTAAGCCTGTGCTGGGCCCTCTGTTCTGTCCCCTCTCAGTTCTAGCCCCTCATCCCTGCAGTCTGTCTCAGCAATTTTAAAGAAGAGCCCCAGGAACAGCAGGACTCACTCAGGCCTCCTGGCTGAAGCCAAGTCCTCTCATCTCTCTTGCCCAGCCAGGAATAAAGCTGGCACTTGATTTCCAGTCAGCTTTCTGTCCTGGTGTGTACACTGTTCAGTCTGGAAGGTGGAAGTCAGATCATCCCTGAACAACTGAGCAGCCCATGCTCTGCATTTGTATTGTAAGTGAAATCATTTTTGGTGAGGTCCTTCTGAGTAATTCAGGAATAACCTTCCCTGAAGGGCGTTCGAGATTGCCCTCACACAAAATCCCCTCTAGGATAAAGCCAGGCAGCAAGGGTTTGGCTCAATTTCACTGCATCAATTTTAACAAATGAAAAATATTTCATACAAAAAATATTTTGTATTCTGGAAAAGGGATGGCCCATCTGATTTTCAGGCTCACAGCTCAACTGGAAGCACACCAGGCGCTCAGGTGGCAGCCCACTGCCCAGCACACTGCCCAAGGCTTGCCCCCTCCTCCGGCGACAGCCCGGCCTCCACATCTCCCGCCACACATCTGGGGCCTCGGCTGCTCAGTCTTTCCTTTTATTTCTAACCTTTCCAGGTCTACGGCATCCCTGTCTTCACTGGTGTTTGCACTTCCTCCCCAGTGGCATCACCCTTCCCTGTAAGTAATAAACATGTTGCATAGATGGATCTTAACACTCATCCATGTTTTGAAAAATCCTGTCTCACAGTTGTCTTTCTCTAGTGCTCATTAATCTTTTGAACACTCAGGTGATACTGCAATAATGTCTTGATTTTCACACGTTTGAAGACATCAGTGTTTTTTAACACTAGTAACCCTACAGCCCAGGCCCAGGGAGAGTCCTGTCTAGACACGAGGACAGAAGGATTGGTGGGCATCCTCCAGGAGTGACCCACGTGAGCCACACAGCACGGACCCAGAGATGATGTCTGGGATCTGCTTCCAAAATCCAGGGGAAGAAGAGGGAGAGGACAGAAGGAGACTGAACGGAACTGAGAAGGTGCGTGGGGTTCACATACTATCCTTTCCCCTTCAGCACAAAGGCACGTGCAGTATCTTTCATAACAAAAAGTTTTTTATGAAGGAAAAAGACGAGAGCCAGGCCCTGTGGGTGCCTTCAGGGCAGCTGGCCTGCCCTACTACTTATCTTTGATAAGGGGCAGAAGGGGAAGAGGCTGCCTTTAAAAACTAGAGCTAGTAAAATTCTTTTCCACATCCCCCGGTCAGCAGCATCTTCTACTGTGGGCGGAGGACAGAGGGATGGCAGCAAACCACTACTGACAAACCAAAGAGCGACGCTGTTCACCCACACAGTGACTGGGTGGGACAAGAGGAATGTTGCTCAGTTACCCTGGTCAAAGCCGCTGCGTCTGTAATAGGCCAGTGCCAGCTCCTCCACAGAGCACAGGACTGTGGCGGGGGCGGCAGCAGCCCCAGCCTCCATCACAAACACAGACTTTCCCATCCCACGCTGCGGGCACAGCCTGCCCGTGATGGTCACCTGAGACGGCAACAGAAGAACGTCCATTAGCCTCGTGTCAGCGAAGGTCCCTTCCTACCCCTGCAGCCATGCACTCAGCAGAGCACGTGTGTCTGGCCCACACTCGCAGGCCTGCGGGGATGCCACAGCTGGCTGGCCCAGCCTGGGAGAGCCTTGACCACTGGAACTGCCCCTCAGGCCCCCTGACTAGCAGGTGAGACTGGCAGATGCTAGTTCCCACCCAGGAGTTTTGTCACTCAACCCAGGGTGTGGCCAAACCAGCCAGCCTGGTCTCAGCAGGAAGGAGGAGGTTAGAGTGAAAACGGGAGCAATGGCCACGTCACCGTCCAAAATGAGCATTAGACTGTTCTAAGTCTAAAAGAAAATACACATTAGAAACTGTTCTTAGTTTGCTTCCAGTCAGAAAAAAAACAGATAAATGTGTTTAAGTCCCAAGCGCCCAAAGGATATTTACTTACATGCCTAACATCTTCCACAGTTATTTCTGGTAACTGATGGAAAAGGTGCTTGTACTTTTTACAGCTCGGAGACTCCCGCAGGCGCACGGCTCTCTGGTAAAGCGAAAGACGGTGTCCCGTCCTGACTTCTGGATCTGCCAGCCCTTCCAGGATGCACTTAATCGCCTAGCAAATAACACGGTCACACGTCAGGATCATGAAAGACCCCACAGCAGCTTCCATTCATTCAGTCTGACGGGAAAGCCCACTGTTAATTATTCAGTTTTGCTAATTAGCAAATGAGCAAACAGCACTTCTAGAAATACAGCCTATTTCCTTAACCTTATGCTGATGTTTTTAATACACAGAGCGACTATAATCTTCACTGCAGATGTGCTGGAGCACAACTAGCCTGTTATCCGTGTGAACAGCGGATCCCAGAGGCCGCCCCTCATGATGCGTGAGCCTTGGGGCCACCCCTGCACCATGGGCTGGAGGAGACTTTAGAGGAAAACTTGGCTCAGTGGTTCTCAGGACATTCATCGCCTGGGCAGCTCTGGAAGAAAACACGTGTCCCACGCCTGATCCACAGGATGAAACTGTCCAGAGTGGGAGCCCAGGCATGTGGCCATGTCAGCACTCCCAGGTAAATCTCATGCACAATCAGAAACCACAGAGCCAGTCCACATTCCTTGTTTATAGGGATAGGAACCTACGGTTTGGAGGAGTTAAATGTATTTCCTAAGGCTATTCAGAGTCAGACAAATGAACAGAAATATAAAAAAAAAAGAGGATGCAGTGCTTGACCCCGAATTTTGGGAATTGAACGGAAAATGGAAGCTGAAAGTGGAAATCAAGAAAAGGCAATGGAAGAAGAAAGCACTGAAAAGAAAAAGGAAGTAGAGAAAAAGAAACGGTCCCGGGTTAAACAGGTGCTTGCGGACATTGCCAAGCAAGTAGACTTCTGGTTTGGGGATGCAAATCTTCACAAGGATAGATTTCTTCGAGAGCAGATAGAAAAATCTAGAGATGGATACATTGATATATCACTTCTCGTGTCTTTTAACAAAATGAAAAAATTAACCACTGATGGGAAGTTAATAGCCAGAGCTTTGAAAAGTTCAGCCGTTGTAGAGCTGGATTTAGAAGGCACCAGAATCAGGAGGAAAAAGCCTCTGGGTGAAAGACCAAAGGATGAGGATGAGCGGACAGTGTACATGGAGTTACTTCCCAAAAACGTTAATCACAGCTGGATCGAAAGAGTATTTGGTAAATGTGGCAATGTTGTTTACATAAGTATACCACATTATAAGTCTATTGGAGATCTAAAGGGGTTTGCCTTTGTGGAATTTGAAACAAAAGAACAAGCAGCAAAAGCTATTGAGTTTCTTAA